CCACCTTCGCCCAGCACCCCTGCACCCACCTCCCGGCCGCGCCCGGAGGGGGAATATGCAGTGCCCTTCGATGCGGTGGCCCGTAACCTGGGGAAGAGCTTGAGGGGCATCCTGGTGGTCCCTCCCCAGCCCCGGGCTGACCCTCTGTATGACAGCATCGAGGAGCACCCGCCTTCACGATCCGAACACATATATGATGAGCCCGAGGGCGTGGCGGTCCTGTCCCTGTACGACAGCCCACAGGAGCCCCGGGGTGAGGCCTGGAGGAGGCAGGCCACAGCCGACGGAGACCCCAGCCACCCCCAGCACAACTACCCAGTGGGGCAGGTCTTCGCTGCCTCCGGTTTGCCACGGGAAACCGAGTATGACAACGTCATACTTAAGAAAGGCCCGAAGTGATGGAGGGCAGGGCATCTGGACCCCATTGAATGCCAGCACTGAGCCAGGCGTACCAGGAAGGGGCTGGAGGCTGGTGAGAGGAGTGGGAGGGGGAAGGCAGGCCTCCCTTCTAGCTGCTGCCGATGACTCCTCCTGCCCACCTCGTCCCAGGAGCCTTCCTGGCTCCTCGCACACAACCCGAGGACAGGGCCTGCTGGGTCTGCTGCGTGAGTCACGACCCCGAAGCAGGAAGAATGCCCTGGAGAGACCCACCCTCCTCCCACCCTTTCCCACTTCCTCTTGTCCTTTCCGGGGCCTGAGGGAATCTCAGGCATTCAGGATAGCAGAGAGAAGGGTGTCAGCAAACGGCTGGCTCCCCGGGCTTGCGCAGGCCTCCAGGCTCGTGGGTGTCGGACTTCTCTGTGGCATTAAACCTTCCTGAAGTGTTTTTGTGTGGCAAGTGCTGTGGGCGGGGATGGGGCGGCCGCAGCCTCGTGGGGAAGGACCACTTCTATTGGCGACCCAGACCCCTCTCCCAGCGGCAGTGTCCCCTCCGGTCCCAAGCCTCCGAGTCCGGACCTGCAGAAGTCGGGCCACCCCGGGAGAGACGTTCAGGCATCTCTAACCCTTTGCCGGCGTAGGGTCAACACCTGAAAATGCACGCGAGTGGGTGTCTGTGCGAAGAGCTTTACTGGAGGACAGGAGCGAGTTGGCATTTTGAGCCCCTCCTGCACGAGAAAGGGGGGGATCCCACTCCACCCCTCGCCCGCCCTTGTGGACACCTGCTCTCTTTGTAGCAGGAGGGGGTCCTGCCACATGGGCTTGAGAACGCATCCTGCCCTGTCATTCTCCACAGGCTTGGGTCCCACTCGCCCGCAGGTCGGGGCGTGCACTCCCTTCATCAAAACCAGCCAACCAGCCAGCATCACGGAGCACCGTTCGGAGGCTCCGGACTGCCCTGGTCCTGAGAGGCTTACAGGCCAGAGCGGTGGCGACAAGGACATGGACATCTGTCATGAGAGGAGAACTTACGCACCGTAGGGGGTTTCAGGGCTGTGGGGTCAGAGGAGATACCCCTGGGTTCACTGGGGGACCCAGAAAGGCTTCCTATGGAAGGTGGCATTTGAGGTGGACCTTCATGGGGGGAGGGACTGGGTGAAGATGAAGGACATGAAGAGAGAGAGCATCCTGGGTAGAAAAGCCAGCACAAGTGGAGGTTGGGGAAGGTGCGGACGGACTCAGCAAAGAGCTCGCCATTCGTGTGGAGGGAGCAGGCGGCCCTCTGATTGGGAAGGGGCTCCAGCCTCGGGGTGGAGGAATCTACGTGATTAGAGGGAGGGGGAGCGACGGGGCTTCTCGGTAGAGTCCCATAAGAGCTGCACATGGGGGCAAAGACCCCGTGGAAATGGACCGGGCGCAGCGTGGGCCGGGGCCGAACTGTAAGAGGAACTCAGAAAAGACCATGGATTCAGAAGACGCTGTAGAGACAGGGCCTGTGGATCTCAGAGTCTGTTGGATGTTGAACGCAGAGAAATCGGGTTTCTAGAGAGATCCAGGTTTTGGAAAGGAGAGCGTAGTTTCTGATGTGTTTAGGGTAAGCTGGCTCCACTCTCCCCAGCCAGAGGAGCGCCCGAAGCAGGTGGGAAAGGGTTCTCGGGTGGGAGGGGATGAGCTGGAAACCTAAGCATGGCCGCAGCCTCCCAGGGGCGCTGTGGTGGAAGCTGTGTCTCTCAGTGCCTTTGCTCGCAGGAGAGCAGGCTGGAGACGGGAAGGCCCAGCTCTATTGTCTGTGCAAAAGGGCCGTCCCTGAGCCACCACCTGGGCCTACCCCCAGAATACACTGCCCCTAGGGCTTTCAGTCCTCCCGGGGTCCAGGCCAGGGATGGTGCTTGGCGGGGCTTTGAGGCAAAGATGCCTCGTTTCTCATTTGTCAGTAGCACCTGAGATGGACGTTCCAGCTCAGCCCAGCAGGGGGCAGTGTTAGCCTGTGGAAAAGGCTGCTGGGGTCCTATCTGCTGTCACGCCTTCTGGCTGGACCCTGAAGGAGGGAACGTCAATGTTTTTTTATGACCCTAATGGAGGAGGACTTGAGGAACCTGCATTTCAGAGCTTGCTCCTTCAGATCCTCAGCGCCCTACTTGTGGACGCTGCCTCCCGGGAGTGTGAGACCCTGAGCTGAAACTTGCCTTTCTCCCCTCTCCTCCACCTCCAGACCCCGGGACTTTCTGAATGCTTTGTTCTGATGCGGGCTTTGCTGGAAAGGGGAAGTGGGAGATTGGCGCTGCAGGGAAAGGTGGGCGAGGGCGGCTGGTTCGGGGAAGTGGAGCATTTGGGGAACTTGGGAAGGGTGATGAAAGCCCTTGAGACAGTTGTTGAGGACGCTGACCACACTGCCAGGGGCCCTCTCAGAAGACATGACCGGGTGGGTGGGTCATCCTGCAGACCTCTGTGTCAGCACCAGCGCAGCCACCCTTAACCGCACCATCGCTGTGACACCCACATCACTTCTTAGTTCATTCCCCCTAGGAGCCCCACCCAGAGCTGAGGAGCCCCGGGGTGGGAGGTAGGGTGGGAAGGGGGAAGGTGAGGAGGTGGGGTGGGGGTGGGGAAGACCCGTCCCTACCCTGTGGCGCCCACACGCAGAGCTGGTCTGCAGAGATGGTTGCTGGGTGGATTCTTAAAGGCGTGAGCCTTAGGGATCCATCTCCTCCGACAAGCACAGAGGAAAAGCTCTCCTTGGCTGTCGAGGGGCAAATTCATAAGGAGACAGACTGGTTTCAAAAGCCATGAGGCAAAGTAAGACCAAGGACGAAGAAAGGGTCTCAGCTGGAGGATCTGTCTGCTACCCAGCTGCTGTCGATTCCAGGAGCAGCCTTGCTGTGGCCAGGACACTATTTTCATTTGCTAATTACTATGCAGAGGTTGCGTCAGGGCAGGTAAGGCCTGCCAGGTGACTGAGCCCGTGATAGAGCTATGTACCCAGATTCACATAACTGCGGCCGTGCACACGTGAGCATACCTTATCGTTCTTCTGCTTCTTTTCTTCGCTCTCTTTTGCCTCCTCTTGTATTTTCTTTTTCCAGAGCATGGGCATGGTGGTGTGTGTGTGTGTATGTGTGTGTGTTGGCCTGTGGTCCACCCCTGAGCCTGCTCCCAGGCCAGGCCCTCTGGCGAGGTCCCACCTTGGAGCTTCGGGATAGACCAAGGCCCAGATTGCCTGGGCCTCTCTCTCCCTCAGACTCCTCCCTGATGGCTGCACTCAAGCTGTTGCTGCCACCACCTTTCAGCTGTGATGCTAACCAGCCGCCTGCCTCCTGCCTCGTGGGCGCTGATTCAATTAGCCAAGGTGCCCACCTCCTGCCAGGGCCATTTATAAAATCAACTGGGGCAGCTGGAGAACGCAGGGAGGGCCGGGCTGGGAAGCAGGGGGGAGGGCGGTGAGCTGGGTAGGGGAGGTAGAAGAACAGGGGCCTGGTCGGGGAACCTGATTCGATTAGCTATCAGGCTGGCTTCCCTGAGCAGGTGGCTGTACATCACCGCCCTGCTCCAACCCTCAGCTCCTAGGCCAGATGCCGGCCAGCACAGAGCCGGGTCCATCCGTCTCCAGGCTCCTTCATGCTTCCCTCCCACTCTGCAGCCCTGGGTTCCTGGGCCGGAGGTGGCTGGCGTGTTTGGGAGAAGGAGTGGAGAGGAAAGCAGGGGGTCCTGAGGGATTGTGGGGAAGCTGGCGTCCCAGGGCTGGGTTGAGTAATTCTGGGACCTGCACCCCAGCGCAGGGTCAGCCTTCTGCTTTTTGGGAAAAGATTGTTCTTGAGTTCGTACAGCATTTTTTCCAGTACCGACTGCTCAGGGGCCTGAGTACCTGCGTCCAAGCTCTGGCCCTGCCGCTCCTTAGCTGTGTGTCCGCGCATCTGTTCCCACATCTGTAAGGCGGAGATAATGATACGTTTTTAGAGGCTTGCTGTGAAGACAGTGAGTGAATACAAGCCTATCACCTAGAGCGGTGCCTGGCACACAGAGCTGCAGTGTTGCCCATCGTCTCCCCTCCCCTCCCAGTGGCTCCACAGGCCAGCAGGACAAGGTGTCCCTGTTTCGCAAGCAAGAAACGGAGATGTGGACAAGCAGAGTGAACTTGTGGGGTGCAGGAGGTGGAGGGGGGACTTAGGGTTTGTGGAAGTGGGAAGGAGAAGTAGGATTTTGAGAGGAAGGAAGAAAAGTGGGAAAGCATTCCAGGAGAGGTGAGAGGAGTAACATCAAAGGCCAGGGTGGGTGGCTCCTAGCGGGGGCTTCTGCACACCTGGGCAGAGCAGGCTTGCCCCCCCACCCCCATTTTGCCCAGAAACGGGAGAGCTTGGAAGGAAAGCTGCTTTCTAGACTGGAGGGCTTTTGGCTGGAAGCAGGCTGGAGAACCAAAAGCCACAGGGCAGATTTTTCCTTTCATCTGAGCTGCTGCATCCGCGCATGGCCCGCAGCTGGCACGCCGGGGCACGGGGCAGACGCCTTGCTGGGCAGGAGCTCCTGGTGGTCCGGTTGGCCTGGTCCACCCACTGGCATGGTCAGTGCACAGCTGGGGCCATTGCTCTGCAGCTGGGGAGCCCCCCTGTCTCCCTGTGCCCACCTCCAAGCCTGGGGGAGGAGGCTGGGAGGACGGGGCAGACGGAGTGGAGAGCATCTGAAGGAGGTTTGCTTTCTCTCCCACTAGACTGCAGACGTCCTATGGGCGGCGTTCATTCTTTATCTAATTTATCACTGTACCCCCGGCACCGAATGCAATGCCTGGCACCAGGTAGGTACAGACAACTCCTTCTTTTTAAAAATATGTGTTCATTGATTTTGAGAGAGAGAGAGGAAGGGAGACGGATAGAGAGATAGAAACATCCATGAGAGAGAAACATCATCAATCACCTGCCTCCTGCATGCCCCCTCAATGTGGAGATTGAGCTCACAACCTGCAACCCGGGCATGCGCCCCTGACCAGGAATCAACTGGTGACCTCTTAGTCCCTGGGTCAATGCTCAACCACTGAGCAACACCGGCCGTGTCAGGTAACTCTTTCTTGATGGAAAGAATAAATGAAGCCCACTTTATTTGGAATGGGGGACCTGGGTGCTCCCCAGCACGTAATGATTTGTGGAGCCCTAGGAAGACTCCCAGTCCAGAATCATTTCCCCCACTGACTCCAGGAATCTCTCCCTTAGCTTTTGGAGCCTCGTAATGAGCGATTAGTAACCCTTGGGAGACCAGTAGGGTGAAAGGAGCTGGTCTGGCCTTGCTGGGGCAGGAGGGCCCTGTGGTGGCAGGAAGGGGGCGCTGAAGGGGAGAGTGGCCCCGACCTGGGTGTGGAGTAAGGAGTTGGCTGGGGCTGTACCTCGATGTGTCCTAAAGCCTGGCAGCAGGCCTGCAGGTGCAGGAGGCACACAGGGCCCGCGGCTCAGGGCACACTTCGTAGCTGGCCCAATG